ACTATATCTCCTTTCCGTCTCCTAGAACTTGCACCATTTCCGAGAATAACAATGAAGGAAAACTACAGGATCAGATAGTCATACCTAGCACTCTTCTTGGTTTGAACTCTAACTTTTGTGTGATATAACGTTAACGGCACCTTTCTCGTCCCATCTTTTCAGTATTTCTCACCGCAAAACTCTTGAACTTTTTTTTTTTTTAATTTATTTTGGCTGCTCCAGGTCCTAGTTGTGGCTTGCAGGCTCTTAGTTGTGACATGGGGACTCTTAGTTGTGGCATGCGTGCGGGATCTAGTTCCCTGACCAGGGATCGAACCCAGGCCCCATGCATTGGGAGCAGGGAGTCTTACCCACTGGATCACCAGGGAAGTCCCTGCATACTTTTATAACTCATTTTTCTGAATTCATCTTTAGCCACCTCTTTGTATTCCATTTGTACTGTGATCAGAACACCACAGGTAATGTAGCTGCATCCAACACACATTTAACTTTGCACATTCAGCTATTCAGAGAGAAAGAGAAAGTACAGTTTCGATAGTGGCTGATTCTACTTGATATTCCCCTCAGGACAAGACAGGAGATGCATGCTTCTCTTATAGGAAGAGCATCCCACTGTACTATGTGTAATTCTCATGCTGAAAGACGCATATTCTATATGACAAGCCAGCTACTTCATTTGGTGCACAGTTGAAGAAACAGTGATTAATTCTGATGCTGGCAGGGAAAAAAGATGTGTATTAGCTTTATTAAGAGACAGGTTGTCAACCTCAAATGAGACCTCTCTTCCAAAGGGAGTTTAAGAGTAATTTTGACTGATTTTGATTTCTGACTGGTAGGTTGCCAATAATTACCTTTTGACTTCAATAGCAAATCACTGTTAAGTTGCAAGTTCTGAATATCTGTGGTCATTCTTCTACAGTTTAGCACCAATAATCCATACTGAATTAGAATCAATGAGTCATCCAACTTAATATTTTTTATGTAGATAGGCTTATAGTGAATGCAAAGATTGTCAATATTCCTAAGTAACAATAACAATACTAGTAATAGTTAATGTTTATTTAGCCCTTAATGTAAAACCCAACACTGTACTAGGATGTGCTTTACATCCACCATCTTATTTAATCCTCAACAACCCTATTACGTAGGTCCTGTTACCTTAATGTCAAAGCCCAGTAACAGACTTAGAAACAACCAAGGGGGGGACTTCCCTGGTGGCACAGTGGTTAAGAATCTGCCTGCCAATGCAGGGGACACGGGATCAATCCCTGGTCCTGGAAGATCCCACATGCAGCGGAGCAACTAAGGCCGTGCACCACAACTACTGAGCCCACGTGCCACAACTACTGAAGCCCGCGTGCCTAGAGCCCGTGCTCCGCAACAAGAGAAGCCACCGCAATGAGAAGCCCAAACACCACAAGGAAGAGTGGCCGCCACTCGCCACAACTAGAGAAAGCCAGCACACAGCAACAGACCCAACACAGCCAAAAATAAATAAATAAATAAATTTATTTTTTTAAAAGAAAAGAAACAACCAAGGGGACATATACATACCTTTCTATGTAAATACTTCCTAAAACACAAGTACTTTCAGGAAAGCAGCAAAGAATCATTGCAGAAGCAGATCAGCAAGTGCAAATTAACATACAGGCTCTAGACAAGCGATGTTTTAAAAGTTCTCATTTCAGAGTGGTTTGTCCAGAAGTTGGAACATATTTTCCCAAGGAAATGATGTTATCACAGCAAAAGCATATTTACCCATGATGTGCCTAAAGTTGTAATAACATAAACCCAAACCATTTTGTGTACCAGTGTCTCTATGGAAAAATTTACTCTGAGTTTCCCCTTGGACGTCTGTGGACACATTTCTCCTCCACTGGGGAGAAGGGGAACTCGTGCGAGAAACAGTAGGACCGTTCGAAATGTTCAAAGTCGGAATCAGCAATGGCTCCTGAGGCCTGTGGTGGGAGTTGCTGGAGGGAGGAGGATGGAAGAGTGAGCAGAACTGGGTACAAAGGGACACAGGGGCAGGAGATCTTGGGTGAGGAAGAGGAGGAAGCCTATAAAGGTGAAGGGTGGGAGAGGAATTCCAGAGAGGAGAGGAGAAAGAAGTCACTAGCTCTAAACCCCCAGGGACTCTTCTCATGCCTCCGGAAGCTTTCTGTTCCCTGCCCGTATTCTAGTGCCTCCAAAATGTCACCTGCCTGCTTCCCTTTTTACTGCTAACACTAGGGCTTCCTCCAGGACACTGAGATCAGCCCCGTAAGTTTTCTTGACTTAGCTGCTTCTAACACACGTGAATGGGCCTTTGGGTTTTTTAACTTTTATAAAGGAAAGGGCCCCTCCTAGGCCCTCCAGAACTTTGTCTTTTTCACTTGGACCTGGAAGCACAAATATCGGCCTACAGATGATTTGGATGGTTTTTTTGGGTCCATAAGGGGCTTAAATAAATTGCATAAGCATTCCAGATGTAGCTCTCCAAGGCTGAGGCTTGGGAAAAGGGAAAAAGCCCTCTGCTCCTTTCTCTTCTTTTTGCCTCTGTGGTTCCCCTGTCCTCAAAGCGAAGGTGGAAAGGAGTGGGCAGCGCCCAGATCGAGGCTCGCTAGAGGGGAAGGGCTGTAAGACAGTGTGATCCTTGCATCGCTGCTGGGGTGTGTTCTCAAGTGGCACATCTCCATCAGGGGTGTAGGGACCACCTGGGCACCAAAGCCTCTCCCAGCGTTTCCCATCCCACCTTCCTCTACTCACCAGTCAGTGTTTCCCTGACTTCTCTGGTGATATGAATCACCTGGGCACCTGGGGAGCTTAAAAAAAAGCCTGAGTTCTCAAGGCCTATCCCAGACCACTGAATCAGAATCTCCGAGTGAAGGGCCTGGAAAGCTGTGTGATTGACAAGCGAGCCCAGGTGATTCCCGTCAGGGATGTGTGGCAAACACTGCCTGACTAACCACCACCCACGCGCACACTTTGATGGTCTTTAAAGTCTCCCAGGACATTCTAAGCCCCTTTCTGCCTCAGAATCATTATATGGACATTTCTTCTCCATGAAAGGCTCTTTCCTGTTCCCTGCTCTTGGCTAAATGCCTGCTTCTCCTGACTTCAGGACGTGCCTGAAGCACGATTTCCTCAGAAAGGCCATCCTTGACCACTCTCCTCACCATGTACACAACTGATGGTTTTTATTTAGTTAGTTAAAATTTCATTTATTTATTTATTTTAAATTTTTCATTCATTTATTTATTTATTTTTGGCTGTGCACAGGCTTTCTCTAGTTGTGGCGAGCGGGGGCTACTCTTCGTTGCGGTGTGCGGGCTTCTCATTGCAGTGGCTTCTCTTGTTGCGGAGCATGGGCTCTAGGCACGCGGGCTTCAGTAGTTGTGGCACACGGGCTCAGTAGTTGTGGCATGGGAGCTCTAGAGTGCAGGCTCAGTAGTTGTGCCGCACAGGCTTAGTTGCTCTGCGGCACGTGGGATCTTCCTGGACCAGGGCTCAAACCCGCCCTTGCGTTGGCAGATGGATTCTTAACCACTGCGCCACCAGGGAAGCCCTATTTATTTATTTTTTGAAGCGGTTTTTTCCTTTGGCCACGCAGCGTGACTTGGGGGATCTCTGTTCCCTGACCAGGGAGGGGTTGATCCTGGGCCACGGCAGTAAAAGCCTGAATCCTAACCACTAGGCCACCAGGGAAATCCCTTTCTCTTCACCATCTAAATCAAGTTCCCTGTTTCATTCTCTCATAACACCTTGTGCTTTTTCTCCGTAGCATTTATCACACAGTTTGTATCTTATGGATTTGCCAAATGCCTACCTCCTCACTAGCACCAAGCGCAGGAATGCTTAATAAGTATTTTTTGCTTGAGTGAGTAAATGGAAAAGTAGCGTTGGGCGAAGGTACTACAGGTTGGGTTGGATGCTGCTCAACAAATAAAGAACTGAGTATGAGAACTTGAATCTCCCAGGTAAAATTGTTACATGTCAGCTAAAGTCAAGGGAGATGGGCCCAACAAATAAGTGTATTAATGGGGCAGTGGGTGAGATTACTTCAAAAAATATTTATTAAGTACCTAGTATGTGCAAAATGCAGTATTAGGAGCTATGGATACAACACTGAATGAGACTGAAGCAGTCTCTGTCTTCATGGAATGCACATTCTAGCAAGGATGACAGCTGTTAAGCAACCAGTTACACGGTTCTATAATTTTGGTAAATGCAATGAAAGAATGACAAAGCTGTAAGAGCCTATAACAGGGAGACCTGGCATGGTCTGTAGGGCATCAGGCCAGTCATAGTACTTCTAAGACAAGTGGCTGGGGAAACTGTGCCCAAAGAATCTAATATACTCTGTCCTATCTCTTGTCAACGGTGGCACGAGGGGAGGTGCCTCTGTATATGGCTTCTCAACCTCGGCACAGTTGACATCTTGGACCAGAATATTCTTTGTTTTGGGGCACTTTCTAGTGCACCGTAGGAAAGGCTTAGCACCATTCCTGGCCTCTACCCACTGGATGCCATAGGCCCCGCAGTTGTGACAACCACAGATATCTCAACATCACCAAGTGTCCCCTGTGAGAGGGTGGGGGGAGGAAGCAAAATCTGCCCCCCCTCCCTCCCCCAGTTGAGAATCACTGCTCTACCTGAAACTTTTTTTTTTTAATGTCTTTACTTATGATTTATCCAAGTCAATACCAGGAACTTAATTTATTCATTCAGTAAGTATCTGTTGAATGCTTAGGCACTGGGGACACAGTAGTGATCAAAGCCCGTGCTTTCTTGAAGCTGTGTTCCAATGGGGAGAGATGGACAATAAATTTTAAAATATGTAACATTTCAAAAGTAGGGGATAGGTTGGTCTTAGAAGTTCTTTCTGATAAGACGACATTTGACTTGAAAGAAGAAAGGGAATGAGTGGCAACACCAAAAGCAAGAGGCAGAGCCATTGCAGGGCTGTAGTTGACCTCACCTTTCTGTCTGCAGGTCTAACCAAGCTGCTTGTGTTTCAGAGCGTCCTCCACAGAAGGGCAGCTGGACGGACTCCAGAGCAGCCTTAACTCTGCAGCCTTTGTGCCCATCACCAGCTCCACAGGTCAGTTCCAGGTGGGACAGCGGGCAGGGTCTGGGCCAGCAAGTTCTCTCCTGCCTCTGAAGAGAGCTCCAGCTCAGAGAACGAAGCATCCAGGCCTCTGGAGCACTGGCAAGTGGGCATTTTGTTACTCTCTTCTTCCAAATGACAGCGACCTTTTAGGATGAAATGGTTTTCCAGAACTAGTTTGGGGTAGGCAAAATTTCCCCGTCTGGTAGAATGTTATCAGATTTGCAGCATTCAGTAAAAAGCCTGTATTTGACTGGTGTTTCAGTGTTTCTATGGTATTTCCACATGTAGTATCTCACACTAAATCCTCACCACAACCGTGTGAGGTATAGCTTTGTCACCTCCGCGTGAGGAAACAGAAGCTCAGAAAGTCAAGGGGCCTGTGGGAGACGGTCCATGCGTGCAGAGCTGGAGCTGTGATCTAATCTGCGTCCTGTCATGCTAACGTCATAGTCTGTTGCCGGGTAGTTGCTGAGGACCTCAAGCCTCTCAACATAGGAGTCAGGCATCATTGGTCCAGGGATAGTTTTCTGTGAGGAATAATTCATAAAAATACACTAATAGGTAATCAGAAGATTGAAAGCAAATCTACTTGGATTCAACTCAACAAGTGTTTTGTTTTTGAGCACCTCCTGTGGAGAAAGTAACATGCTGGGCACTGGGGTGCGTAAAGGGTGAACTAGACAGTCCCTGCTGGCAGGGAACCTAGAGCCTCGGAGAGAGGGAGGTCAGCGGGAGCCTGCTGTGTGGGGTGGGGAGGGATATCTGGCACTGGGGATGCAGAGGATAACAATAGACAGCCTTGGCTGAGCATCGCTGTGTGTCAGGCACACTTCTGAATGCTTAACATTTGTTCACAAAACATGCATATAACATAGGAGCTGTAGTCCTCGTTTTACGGCTGAAGAAATAAAGGCACAGACAGATTATGAAACGTTATCTCAAATCTCACAGCTAGTGAATGGTGGAGCAGTATTTGAACCCAAGGGCCAACCTGACCCCGACTCTTTAGGGATTGGGGAGGACTTCCTAGAGGAAGAAGCATCTAAGCTGGGGTTTGACTGTAGACAGGTCAGCCAGGAGAGGGGAGGTGTGGGGTGGAAGGAGTTCCAGGAAGAGAGAACAATGTGGGCAAAGGCCAGTTGAGGGAAGGGGGCGGGTGGTGAAAAGGTGCTGTGTTCGGGGAGCCCTCATACTGAGGACTGGGATCTGAGCTGGGAGTGGCAAGAGAATAGGCTGTAGAGGTAGCAGGGCCAGCCTATGAGCCGGGGAGGGAACTTGTTCTTGAGAGCAGTAGGGAGCTATCCAGGAGCTTAAGGGCAGGGTGCAAGGGTGTGTGTGTGTGTGTGTGTGTGACACAATCTTGATTACAAGATTGCTAAGGAGCCTGGTTAGTTTGACTGTATATTATGGGGATAATTCCATATACCTCATAGGCTTACTGTGAGGTTTAAAGGAAGCAGCATACAGAGAAAGGCTCTATAACTGCACCCAAGTCAGGTAATAATATGAAAAGAGTATAAAGATTTTGTTTTCCACTTAAACTCTTTGAACCTGAATTCCAGAAATATTTGATGGGAATATAAACCCCCCTTTCCCCAAAAAAAGAATTACTAGAAGATGGTAGTTATTTTTAAGGAAGTGAAATTTCCACCTTGGAACTCTTATGGCCTGAGAAGTGAGTGGCTAAGAGAACCATGGACTAGTTGGCAGGGTTTCCATGAGAGACAGCTTTTAGAGCCTCTGTAGCTCTTCAAATTTGCTGGGGCTGGAGAGGCTTACAAAGCTTAGGAGATCCAGGAAACCTGCGTATTTCATTTGTGTGTCTAATTGATACATTAAGTATGGAATTGAACTCTTTGCATGCACTCTGGGTGAGCAAGTTGGAAATTTGAGGGACAGGTGGGTCATACTTTCAGCATCTTGATCATGAATTAGTGTTTACCGACTGTTGACGGTACTTAGAAGTTTTTGTAACAGTTGTACTGAATTTGGTATCAGTATAAAACCACAGAGCAAGGAGGAGTTGTACTTCTCCCTGGCTTCTAATATCTATCTTTTCTCCCTGCTTCTACCTTAAGGTAAGTGCATTATTCTTCTCACCTTGTTTAGGTAGCCTGCTGTTTACTGCTGTTGTCTCCAAATGACTCTGGGCCTCTAAAGTCCTTTGAATTTGTTCCTCTTCTATGACTTTCCTGGTGTTCCTGATATTTAAAGAAATGCTGATGAACGTGACGTAGCAAGGTTCAGGCATTTTCCATACTTCCCAATAAATGTTTTACCTTAGCAACATAATAATAACTAACCCTGTTAGAGTCATTTATAGAGCTAGTAAATAACTACCTGGCACTTCAGTGTTTCACCTACAAATTATGTTTTTCTTTATTACACATAGATTTAAAGGTGTTATTCTAGGGGTTTAGAAGCATGTCCTTTAAGAGGGAGAAGGTTAGGTTGCTATTAAAAACATTTTTCTTTAAACCCACAAGAAGGAAGAACAACCCCTAATAAGTCAAAACATTTACACATCTCTCTGAGAGCTGGGAAGTTTTGCGTGTATAGGAATCACTAAACTGACTATGAAAGGTATTTAGCCCCTGTCTGGTCTGGTTGACTCAGTTATTGAGTCCGTGAATATAGCAAAAGTCTGCTTCCTGACCCCTTGACCCTTCTTTAAGTCTAGCCCAACCAGGCCTTCAAGCTGTGCGACCTTGTTCGTCAGATAGTCTGAATGAGATAGATAGTGGTTCACCCCAGGGCGCTGTTGAAAGGCAAGTCAGTCCTTTCCCGCTGATGGTGGTCTAGTGGCATTCTTGTTACTATGAACATTAAATGAGGTAGTGAATGGGAAAGCTCTTAGCAGAGTGCCTGGAATGCTCCATGAGTGTTAACTTTCCTTGACTTCCCTACCTCAGGCTATATATTCTGTGTTTGCTATAGAAGGGGAAGGTGTAGAGTCAGCAAATTTGGAAATTTGAGAAGGAAGCTGGAGTGAGGGCCTTTGGCTCAAAGCCAAAGCCATTGGCCTTCCTTCTTTATAACCATGGTGTTCTTCTTGAGGTCTGAAGTGGTGATGGTGAACTAAAATAGCAGAGAGCAACAGATTAGATAACTGGCATTTCTCTCATGCTGATTTGATGGTGTAAACTACCATTGTTGTAGGGCCCGAAGCCATACCAGCTGCCCTCATCCCAGCCGCTTAGCTTATGCCTAAGCTTTTCCTGTCCTGGAGCCCAGCCTCTATATGCACTCCGCCCAACTTTTTTTTTTTTTTTAAGCTCTTGTAGATCTATAGTTGGAGGAAGGGACCATACCACCTTTTGAACACTAATGCTGGATTACATTTACAAGGAGTGAGAAGCAGTGTCCCGCGTTAAGCATTTATCATTTCGGACCCTGGTAAAATTCAGGGTAGCTTTATGCTGTTTGCGTGGGGACAAGGCAGCAGCACATCAGTGTGCCTCTGCCTGCCCACTTCGTTGTCTCTAAGTGAGACAACAAGAGAAAGGAACTTATTTTAATATAAAGTAAACCCAGTGGAGCCCAAACCCTAAGGATCTAGAAATCACTTTGACTTTCAAATGAAATTATTCGCCTGGCAGCTCTCAGCAGAGTGACCTATTTTCACTATCAGATTCTTGTCCGTTTCACATGCGTTGTATAGTTGTTGGAGATCCCGGGTGGATTTGGAGGATAATAAATTAATAATAAAAATAAACTCTTGAGATGCTTGCCCTAGTGTCTTATACCCTTTATTGCTCCCAAAACGTTCTTCTCTCCCCAGAGTCAAAGGGACAAGAATTTGGGTCTACTACCCACTTTTAATGCTGTTAGAAAGCAAGAGAGAGAGGATGGATTTGATGTTTGGCTGGAAATGGCGCGCCAGCATCGGGGAGAATGATGATCCCCTAAAGTCTAATTTTAGATTTGACCTCTTGTCCTTTCAGCCAAGATTAAATAAAGTGTTAAGTGGGGATTTTTTTTTACATTTTTCAGGATCTTTGGACGCTCCCCAAGTTATTTTTGCCAGATCCAAACCCTTGCCCACACAATCTGGAGCCCTTGCTACAGTTATAGGACAGAGAAAATCAAAGTCGGTGAAGTCAGGGCCAATTTAAGGTAACAGTAAGAAATAAGAGCATTTTTTAAATTATAACTTGCTGACTTTACGCCACAGCAAGAGACTTAATAGCTGTCAAGAGAAGTGATATTTTCTCAAAATGACAAGGAAATTGGCATTTTATAAAACCAAAGCTCAGAAGGACTCTCCAAATCTGTGGGTCAAACTACTGCTAGCTTGCTTCTATGTTGACCTACCAGTAGGTGGCACTGTGGCAGTAAGAAATTTCCTTACTATTATGGAGGCATTTGATGAAAAGTATGGGGACATTCAGGCCAATCAGAGAAAGAAACTAAAGCCAAAATTGAGTTATTCACAGGTAAAATGTAACAGACTATACTGAAAAGCATGACATTTGAAGATCAAATTACAATAGCATCTAAAGAGAATGAATATTTTTTATTAAAGATATTTATTATTAAAGAAGGCTTTTAGACTACCGTTGGATAGTTTGTGAACTGGATTTTCAGCCAATGGGAGACAGGCAGGGAACATATTTTTTTTTAATTTTTTTGTGAGATTGATTACGCTTCTTTCTGAGTTACTTAATATAAGCATATACTATAATTGGCAACAAAACAAACTATAAACCCCATCCTACCACTTATCCAAAAAAAAGCTCCTACATTAAAGAAATGGCCTGACTTTGATCATGTGAGGCTGTACCCACACTTCATCAGTGCTACCCCCAGTATTTTGTTCCCAGCTATCGCCTTCAAAACTTTCCAGAAAATTCAATGAAACTGCAAAGTTTTGATGATTTCTTTCCTCTTTGCTCTACCCTACACACTAAAGCATTAATGGCACACCTGCTATGAGCTTAATACTCTTCTTACCTCTAGGGGAATATTTATAAACTTATTTGAGAAGCATT